GACTTGGCTTTGTTCGCTCCTGCAAGTGGGTTCACTCACTAGTTCGGTCCCTATTACCGAACTCGTAACAGTACCTTTGTGGGAAAAAGTTGATGAGATTTCTATTCGACTGACACTAATGTAGCAGTATACTTTTTACCTTTTGAAGTGTGTCATTGAATAGAGAAGGAAGCGAGCAAAACAACAGATTGCAAGGTCACAGGGTTTTATTGTCTTTAATCTTTAAGCACTGAGAGAGACAGTAAAGCTTTGTTAACACCTCATATGATAAACTCAAGTTATATTCTACCACCTTTTTCATATGGCAAGAAGCAGGAAGAATGAGCATGTGTGGGGAGGGTAAAAGATCAAGGAATAATATATAAATAGTAGATAAGGCATTACCTACTTAAGATGAAAAAGGGTTTGTGCCTTTCCTTCAAGTCACAACCTGAATTTCTGATCAGTGACTTGATGATTTAATTATTTTAATTAAATATACAAACATTTCTTTGATACCAAAGTGAATAGACAAATAGAAATAGAACAGAATGCATATTTATATCAAATCCGTAAGCAGAAGTAATGCTTCCAAAGAGTGGTTTGATAATTATTCATCAGTTTTGGCATAATCTTTTGGAAATATATTAATTGGCACTTGAAATATATAGTAAGCATGTTGGCAAGGCTGTCATGACACAGATTCATTGAATGAGGGAGGTAATTTTGCTAAAAGGGAGGCAGACAGGCTCCTAATACCTTTGTAATTTGGTATATGCTGTACCTACTACCATCTGCAATACCATGTGCAATGCAGCACATTTTCTACTACTGCTCTTGTTGCTTCATTTTCCTCACAATAATAAACCTAAACCTTGCAAAGAAGAACAAAATGAAACATGCAAAATTAATTTATAGGCAGAGAATGAAGCATTCAATTAGGTAATTACAGCATTAAAAAAGGTTCTTTCTATTCAACTTGTCCACCTTCTTAATGTGATTATATGAGCAGTCACTGTCCTGGGCCATTGTTCACTCTATTTCATAAAGATCTGCTCAAGAGGATCACTGATAACTAATTTCAGAAATACTTAATATAAACTCTATTTGGTATGTAAAACGCTGACACTCACGGGTGGGGGGAGCATCTGTGATTGATGGAATAGAGATAATTTTAGCAGCATCAGAAGCACCAGTCCAATTCTGTGGAATTATGACAATTCTACCATATCACCTAATGATGGGATTTGCAGCAGAATGTAGTCTGTGAATCTGGGCACAGGTTAACAAGATATTTCATCTGGAACATCTCTGTGTAGAAGCATAGGATAAGATAGGACAGCAAGTTTGATTTTTTATGAAAGGAATGGTTTAGAAGACTGAAGAGTGAGTTTTAATCTTTATGCTCCTTGGTGTTAATTTCTAATTAAACTACTGTGCTGCATTATCATTATAAGGATTTAAGCTTGAAAATTCATATGTAAAATTAATGAAATTTCAAATAAAATTCAAAGTAAAAAATTGAAGTAAAATGATGAGGCTTTTATCAAGCCTTTCTTTTAAATTTTGACAACTTCTCTGGCAATCTCAACAGCTACTTGGGGAAATCCAAGTGTTCTTTGAACTATTTTTGATTGATGTATTTAGTGTCTCCTGAATCATTCACTGATAAAGTCAAAGTAAAGTAGCCCAAATACAGTATTTTAATAATTTTTCATTGAGCAATGCAGACTTCTTCATCATGAACAGGTGCTGTAAGAAAGCCCTAAAATATTTCAAATTGGTCTGAAATTTTCTTCTTACTGACGTGTTCTGAAAACATGACTTCCAGCTGTGCCCTGCACAGAAAATAGAAACTTAAATTTACACAAAAATGAAACTCATATTTCATATTAAACAAAACCTAAAAAGATTTGTGAGAAAACATGGTTATTGTTTTCATCCCAGAGGGCAAAAATAAAACTTAAAATAATTTAATAAAAATGCCCTCAAACTTCGATAGTTATAAATATATGTGTAGACTTTCATCATAGATGCAAGTGTGAGTGTAGGAAGATACCTGCTCGGCATGACCTTAGAATTACACCCAAAGACGACCCAAATTCCTTTCTTTGTCTCCATAGCAGCTACAGTAGGTGCTAGTAGAATAGTACAACTAGGAACTCTGCTATACAGTATGCGGTGAGATGACTCTTCTTCTTCTGGATGTTGTCAGTCAGTAACATCCTTTGACTGAAGTTCAGCAAGAAAAATTGTGGTGTTTGCTGAAATTGTGACATCAGAAAATGCTTATTGTTTATCACTTTAGCTTGAAGGCTAGCCCCAGGTTGCAAGACAAAAATGGAATTTGAATTCTAAGATGTAACTACTGGCTGGCTGACAGTTGAGATAGGAAAATTATTAACCATGGTAGATATGAGACATGCTTTACAAGTGTTCACTCACGTTTTTAACTTTGGATAAAACATAGACACCACAAAGTGAAATAAATGGTTGAAATTAGTTGTGTCAGACACCGAATTTATGGATGTGGTACATCAGTTTAAAAGCTATGAAATCATTGGCCCAATGGTCTTCTCTCTAAGAACAACAAGCAACCTCCAGTAGTCAGTGGGGGAGACCAGCAGGTACTTTCTGACTGAAGTTCCTCTTCAGAGACACATTCACGAACTGTAGGGTACAGACTGGGGGAGAGAGCTTAGCTTGGTAAAATGACAGACATTTGCACAAACTGCTTTCAGTGCAACAAAGTTTTAAATAATCAAGATATTGTATATATATATAGTTTTCATCATTGTTTTTTATCTAAGATGTTAACTTCCATCCTTTAACAGAAATCTGTATGTCTCGGGTAAGGTTTGTGGCAATCAAAAGTTTATCCTGGAAGCATAGAGGGAGGGTTTAATTCCTGGATGAGACACCCGTCACCAGGACACACAAATATGGACAATTAAAATACTTTTTAACCTATCCAGCATGCATTTAGATGGTGGGAGGATACTGGAGTATCTCGAGATCTAGAGAAGATCCACATCTCAGAGGGTACATGCAAACTCTACAAAGAAATGTCTGAATCCAGTCCAGCACTTGAATACTGGAATCAAACCTAGTTGTGGAAGAGCTGTGAGGCAGCAATGCTTGCCATGATACCACTGTGTTAACTCAATAAAAACATGTTTGTGACAAATAATCTTGTCAATTTCATTACAATTGATAAAATAATCATGAATTAATTAATCCTCTTCTTCTTCAAGCAAGATGCACAAGGTATCACAATTTCACAGTCAACTATAACTAGGTTACACAATGCAATAGGTACAATAAAGCTTTTGTTTATAAATCATCTATAACCTATTGCAATACTACAATACAAGGAATGAAATAAGTAGAATAGCAGATAAACAGCAAGGTATAATGCAAAAAGAAAAGTAAGTAGGATATCATGTGAAAAGTGAAAAAATCTATACAAATTGACAGCATAAATATACAAAAATACTGCAGAAAACATAAAGCAGAACAGTACATCTGTAGGTTTGTAATTCCATTTGAGTAACACTCAGTAACTCTTCAGGGCAGAGCTTATCCTGTTTTTTAGGCATGAAGTGATCAGAGAGCACATGACTCCCACCTGTATGAGATACTCGTCCATCACAAATATTACCCCCAGCAATGACCGTGCTTATTTATACAGCTAGATGAACTGAAGCAATTGGGGTATACTAGCAATGTGTGCAACAACGACTTGAACTCTAAACCCATGGGTCATGAGTCCAGAGACTTACCTAGGACACTACACTGCACCCAGTGTAGTACATCTAAAAGAGAGTTCAACACTTTAAAAAAGTACATCTTAAAAAAAAACACATCTCTCAAATATGGCACATTCACAAAATGCCCTTAATGTATTTTTTCATTAATATTCTGAAATAAATATATTCTAATGGTTGAAAGACAGGAAATAACATTTTCCCTGGTAAAAGTGGCAAATTTGTGAAGTAAATCAAACATTAATTTGGAGATCAAAATAAAGTGGGCATGGTGTAGTACACCCATGCCTATTTTAATTGAAAAAAAATATACAGTACATTTACTTCAATGGCACCTTGGGGTGTGAGTCTTTTGTAGTTGTAGTAATATTCTAGTTTTGTTTTGAGTACTGCTCAAGAAACTCAAAGTGCACGCATGGCACTGTTATGTACATACTGTACATGCTATACATGTATGTATGATGTACATATGTTTGTACATATATATATATATGTGTACATGTATGCATTCTGTGCATTATTTACTGTACATAACAAGTAAAAGGAAAAGTACATTGAACTGACCAGGTAAAGCTTAATTAATTGCATTAAATATTTTCGTGGAAAGCTAAGTCTTTAAAGCAAGATTTTAAAAATGTCAACATTCTCTAATGGACTTGGGCAGTGAGTCTGACAGACATAAGGTTGATACAAGTCACTCTTTCCTATTGTGTGGAACTTGATCCTCAGATAAGCAAGAAGGCCTCCCTCGGTTGATCTAAGATTTGAAGTAGGATTTTGCCCAAGCAAGAGCTCCTTAAATTAACTTGGACATTGACTGCTCAGTGTCCTACACGTAAGTAAGAACAGTTCTACTTAACCTCTTAATTTCACTGGGAACCACTGAGATGGAGCGGTTATGGACTAAAGATAAGATTTTAGATATTAGATATAATTAATATTACAGATTTTGACTAAATACAGATATCCATTTAAACATTAATCAATGTTTGCACATCGGCAAAAAATACCCTTTCTGTGTTCATAACATGAGATTCAAATGACCACAGGTTTAAAACTGTATAGTAATGATTTCAGCACTATCAATAACAAAACTAAGATTACATATCCTGTGAATCTGATATTGGTTTATTAGCATAATCTCAGTTGTGTTACAATTTAGATTAAAACAGTGAACAGAAGGCAAATTAGTCATGTAATTAATTTAATATGAAATGGACAGTCAATATGCAAGTCAAATAAGGAGTAGTTTGCATTTGTATTCTTTGAGAATGAATAATAGAAAAAGAAGAGAATACTTATGAAATGTGAACCTCTAGTTTTAAATAAAATCAGAATAAAAGTCATTCACATAGGAATTATTTGTAAAGATTGTTTTCTTATAACACAAAGGTAAGCAGGAAATTAAAGACAAAATAAATTATAAACAACATTTTTCCCTTCACTTCCAAATACTTTGCATAAATGTTCTTTCTGTAATTGACAGCTGCACATTTTAATTTAACAACCAGTAAAATAATACTATGATTTTCTAAGTCATTTTAGTATTATCACAAATAAAATGACAAAACAAAAATAGAAAAAAATGAGAGGGTAAGTACTATTTTAAACAGTGTTTAAATTGTAGCTTCATATAACTTTCAGTCTCCTCACAACAATTTCATTTTTTAAAATTTGACTTGTTAAAACCACAATATGAATTTGCAGATATTTTATGAATCATGACAGGACTATCTATGGCCAAACAGTATGATTATAACATATCTATCAGTTCTTCGTCATATACAATATGCTACATACGGTATTCTGAAACCTAGTAAATATAAATTGTGAGATTGTATTCAGATTTCCAGAAATGTGCTAGACCTACAGTACAATGGGTAATTTCAATTGAACAATAAAAAAAAGTTTTATTTATGATAATTTGTTTTCCAGTTTCTTATTACTCACTATAATTTGTATTGCAGTATGATAGAGATGGGACTATGAAATGATTAGAGATTAAGAAATGATCATGAAATATTAGTCAGGCTCATTGGCAGTAATGGCTCATTGTCTATGTACTGTATGTTAACAATAGCATTGTTTATGTACAGTCATATCAGTTCCAAATGAAGTCCACCTTTATGAAAAAAGAACAAATGGATATTGTTCCTCCACCAAATTCAGATATTTTGAAGTTATAAAGGTTAAAAACTACAAGACAATTACTTTTGAATACTTTCCAAATACTATTTGGCATAGCAAATTAACTTAAAGTATACTAAGACATTTACTGTATTTGACAGTTAATAATGTACTGTAGTTTCAGTATCTTATGCAATGACTAGAACATGACATTTAGGGTGTAGCACACCAAAGCATAGTGTTGAGGAGTCTTTATTTCAGCAGTCATCTAGGTTTTTATGCTAAAGAAAGGTGTAACAGAAAGAATAAGGTTCTGGATCCTGAGATGAAGTTAAACAGATGAGTTTATTGCATGCAAGGAACAATAAAGCTGAAGTCTTGTTTCCTGCAAGAAACAACAAAACCGAAGTATTGTTCAAAGTGCTGGTACAAACTTTAGGTTTATATATCCTTTCCTTTCCGCTTCTGATGTCACTGTTATGGCAAAGGGGGGAGGTCACGTGTCTGGCCAGCTTACAGCTTTTTGGCCAAATGGTCAGGGGGTTCACACAGGGGGTTCTCTAGCTCTCCTAGCTCACATCTGGAATCCTTATCAGTTAACCCCCTTCCTGCCATAAACTCCAGCCTTAGAAGTCTAACCTTAATGAAGAAAGAACTTTAAATTAACCCCGTCTTCACATCTTACTTCAAAGGTTTCTACTGAGAATTGACCACTTGCATGATACCAGGAAACATGCCTCAATAAAACAGCTGAACAGCTTTTTCCAGACCCCCACTGGCAAAGGCTCTGGATTGCTGCAATAATCACTAGGATTAAATGGCTTTCTGTTAACAGATGGATGGACAAATGATTCCAATGCAATGACCACAGCCTGTGGTTCTGTTGAGAATGTACTCAGAGCTGTAGGTTTCAAAGGTTTGAAATGGGACACATCCAGAAATCTAATCTGGATTGATGCATGATCTGTATAATATGCATGATCATCTTATATTGAACATATTTATTTTAAAAAGAATTTTGATTTGTGCATGAACAAACTTTAGTCCCACCCACATGCTTTCAATGTCAACACATTTTTTATTGATTTAATACCCCAAATTATGTCTGTGGAGACTTGTGTTATGCTGTACGTATTTTAACTCCAATTGATCCTTGTAAGATGTGAAGTGGTGAAAAAACATGAGGAAACATTGTGAAAGTGAATTAGATGCAATGCGTAATTTTGAAATCTTGGTTGCTGTGCTTTCCTGTACATCTTATCAGTTTATACACAGATGCACATTCTGAATTTTGAAGTCACTAAATTTGTGTGTTGCAATGGACTGTATCTAAACTGTAAGCATTCTATAACCAGCTTTAAATGGTGTCCTTTGTGACTCAATTGCATTTGCAGTGCTCAGACTATCAGTGTGAAAGAGGTGCTTAAATTAGAGGCTGACAAAGCCCCTATCGATTGGCATACTATATGGGAACATGGCACATTTTAATGAACACGTATCCCAAGGTGCCTTAAACTATGTCTTCTCCAAAACTCATTTATTTAAGTTGCTCATTCATTTAAATCAGAAGCTTTTGAAGACACCTTTTAAAGATTTAAAAAGAAAGTGTGAGAGGAAGACATAGATAGGACAAATGCAGTGTGATAGCGCTGCCTCTTGCAGCTGTCAGCCTCATGAAGAGATCAGAAAGAACAGCAGAATTAGATGATCTATTGTAAATGACTAAGAATAAATATCTCCTATATGCCAAGAAGAAAGAAAAAAAAACAGAAACCATTTAAAAAAGCCATGGGTAGCCAGTAGGTTCGTAATTCAATCCTGACTTCAAACACTTAGTGGTAAATGTATATTATAATAAAAAGTTATTTATAAGCACTTTTCAACAAACTCAAAGCACTGGATAAAAGAATGCAAAAGTGCTGGATCTTACATAATCCTACTTTAGTTGTCTCTTTCTATGGCATTTTATTTGATGATGGTGGCAATTTGACACAATAATCATAAATGTATAGCCTATGTGTGTTAAAGTAAACTGAGTTCAAGACATTAGAAAGTATCATATAAGCGGTCATCACCTTGTCAATATTATTTTTTTTTCAAAGAATTCCAAATGCATTAACATTTAAAGTGAACCAGATTCAGTTAAAAAATCATACATTCCAAAATGTTTCTGGTCATACATTTGTCTAGCATGCATCAAACCAACAACTACATTTATTTTCTGCCACTTATGAACTTTATATTATATTCTTGCCATTACATTTTCTGATCAGGATACATCCTCTGTTTATCTCTGAAATCTGAATAATTATCTCCTTATTCATCAGCTCTTGATGTTGCTGATTACACTGCTGAGTGTTCTTACAAATGGCTGTGGAGTTGCAGGTTTTATGATGTTTGATGAATGATTTGATGACTTGCCACATTTTTATTTTTAGCACGCATTTTTGAATTAATAAAGTACTGCAGTGTATGTTATTTCACCCATTGGTGAAAGCCTTCATTAGAAATACAGGGGATTCAATTTCCAGTTGAGAATGCTGCACATTGTATTCTTTAACAATTTTTACATTTGTTATTTTGTTTTTTTCACTTGAAGGTTATGAAAGTTATTTTTAGAATACAAGAGGTGATCATCCTTAAGTGATGCAACAAAGCAAAAATGTAACAGCCTTAGATTAATCAGAACACAGTGTTCCTATCATTTATAAGACTTTCATCGAAGTACTGTAAGTAGACCGAGTTAAGCAGAGTTTTAAGTTGTATCTCTCTAGAGTAATATGAACCCTCTTAACTGTCCCATGACAGATATTCTACCACCCTTAAAAATCTTTTAAGTACTGGCTAATTTCTGACCTCCAGGTCCAGGTCCCAAGGAAAAATCCTGTGATCCAAGGTGATCATAAAAACATGTTGTTTATGTTAATGACATAACATATTATATTACATTAGAATTACTTGCTATGGTATATCATATCATAATAAAGCATTGAAGGGATATGATAACATATATGTATTGTAAAGTTATTAATTTTAAATGTTAATTCATAAAATCAGTGTAGCATATTGTAAGTACAGTAAATACTTTGGACAGTCTGTTGAAATTACAGGAAAACCACACAATTACTCTGCAGATGCCATTATGAATCTTTTGTACAGAAACATAAAACACAGAAGAGAAACTGCTTCCCTTTTTCTGATATATGATAACATTAAATACCAACAAGTTAATTATATATACTCCAATTGGTTCTGTGCCAAATGTGTACAAAATCCAAGCAACAACAGCCTAGCCCATCTAAAGGATTTCTGCAGGAATTACAGACATAGGACAGTAATTTCTCATTGACCTTCCTGTGTTGATGAAAGATCCTGTACAAGGTACCTTGAGATGAAGATTATTCAGAGGGGGTGAAAGGCACAGCTGTGCAATTTGTTGGAAGAAATGGCGTCTTTTATGCACAATTTGATGCCTTCAATTCTAACATTTAGGCTCTAATGCACTTTTGAGCTGCTGTTTATCATTTTATTTTATCATTAAACATGCCGTTCTGCTCCTCAGCAGGCACTCCAAATGAATCTAAAATTGTGTATTATTATGCAACATGTTCAATGTTCAACTAACTCTGATTAATGGTGACACCGTCCAAGGTGCAACAGTCCACAAATAGGTTTTAATTGCTTGGCCTTTGGTGAGCACACTGGGAA